ATTAGGGATGATACTCACCTCTTTTTTTTAAAAAAAATCATCACATATTTCGAAACATATCAATGATCAGTAAACCTTGGTTTTCGTTTTTTTAAATAAGATTGTTAATGGCACTCGTGAGTCGTGACAATGGCCGCGATGAAAGTGCATTAATTTTCCTAACACCTTTGTCAAGAGTTTCAGGAACAACCGTAACATTATTATAATTATAATTATCCTTCAATTCCTCAATTTTCCAAACACCTTTGTCATGAGTTTCAGGAACAACCGTAACATTATTATAATTATAATTATCCTTCAATTCCTCAATTTTCCACCGTTCAAATATATATATATATATATGGGTTGCCACTGGGTACTGGAGAGCTTCTTTGTCAACCTTTTTTCAAAAGTCTACCTACAAAGATTTTAGGTTATGAGGAAGTTTGTTTGTAGTAAATGGTCGTTGGTGGATCATACATCCCCACCCTGTCCCCCATATTCACCGATTCTGCTGGAGTTGTGGTGTCAAACCTGCACAAGTGGCAACAAATGAAAAAAAGAGGAGCTGCACCAACAGCACGGTAGCAGCAGGGTACAGTAAGCTAAACTGCAAATGCTAATGAAATGAAACTGCAATAAATAGAAAATGAAATGAAATGCAAATGCAAATGAAAGACAACATAGTAGCAGCAAAATACAGCAACATAGAGCCGCACAAATGGCAGCAATCTTTGAATTTAACCTTGCATTAAATGTTTGGTTGATTTTCTTGTATTAGATAAAGATTAGGTGAAAAAGTTACTGTTGATGTATTAAGATATTTCTGTCATATAATGACAGAAGATGAATGAAAAAAATGGATTCAACCTCACCAAATGAGGTAACTCCACAAACTCCACCAAAGCGGCCCATCGGCTGCGCACCTCATTTGAGAGGTGGAATGTTTACCCGATTTGAAGATCGAATCTCCAGTTACTAACAATTAATTTAAACTAACTTTTTAATCATTATTTTTTAAAAAAAAATGAGGTAACTCCACGGTGTCTCCCTCCTTTTCCTTTAAGTCCTCTCTCAAGCCCCTTTTTACCACCGAAAAATCTTAACAGATTCCTTGAATCAGCATGAGTAGGAAGGACTTCAAGGAATATTCTAAAAGTTTAGGGAGCCAGTTGTACGTGGGAAAACAGATGGAACTAATTCTGAATGTTTGATTACCATGGAAAACTATTCTTACGACCCAAACGGGCTCATTCCAATACATTTTCGGATGAAAAAGGCAAAATTACCTTAATGATTATGCACGCTAACAGTCATTAAGAACATTTTAAAATCTTCATACCCAAGTTGACATTAAAATTAACTAATTCAGACTTAAATTCTAGGGACTCTTTGGCTACAAAGGCCAAGTTGATATAATTGCTCCTCTTCCATGTCAACTTATTTCAAGTTTTCCATATGTTCCTGTGAAAAAATAGCATTGATAAACATTTACCTTGCAGAACAACTCAAGGGAAGAAACTGCCATTCAATCACCAAAATGTTTAAAATTTAGGAATAGTATCTCAGAATTTAATGCCTTTTTTTTTTCCTGACATTATACAAGAATAGATGCAATGAAACTGAGGCCTGGAGAAGATTAGTTCTTACAACAAGGTATCTAAATGCTCACTGATTGTGGTATACTTCAGATGTGGGTAGAGTTGTGTCCCATCAACTCCTCCAGAAGAGTCGATATCAAAATAGGTATGATCCCCCTTGACGAAGACAGAATATAAAAAGATCATCTCCATGTTGTCTGGGTGCGGAGTCTCTGTGAATGCAATTTGATGATACACGCGGTTTAAGACCACAAAATGAATTTGAATCAAGAGTCATAATATAGATCAACAAAGGATAAGAAAATACATACCATGCTTCCTGGGCCAGAAATAAGCACAAGTGAATTAAGTAAACGGAAAACATGGCAGGTAACAAGGTGAATTTTACAAAATTTACAAGTACTACATGGGACCGGATTATGCACTATCCTCTCTAACAGAATGTCATCAGCAAGTTGACAGAAAATGAAATGAGTTATATACCTCCTCCAAATTCAAATCAATTTTTGCTACTTTTCTTCTAACCAAATGACACAACAAGCAACTGAATTTTGCAAGTATGTTCCTGAATGCCCTCCATTAACTTGACCATATACTGATATACCATAAGTTTCTGTCACAAGCTTTATGAAAACGAATACAGAATACATACCTTTGATTTTCTTAAGAAGCTCTTCTTCTGATGCATAAAATCTCTCAAGCTTCTTGCCAATCTTACCCTCCCAAATCTCCACCAGCTCATTCATGGAGTGAACATTTCCTGATGGTCTCAGATACAGAGCCTTATTCAGGGTCCGGGGGTCATCCACTGTAGCAATGGTGAACGCAGCAACATCATTCTCCTTCACAAAGACAGCTGAAGCCAAAACAGAATAAAATGAATTGCAATCAAATCTCTTAACTTTTCTGAGGAAAGAACCATCCATTGAGTAAAAATGCTTGCCGATGCTTCTTGCTTAACTTCCAATTCATTTATCTCCATTTTCAAAGGACTTCAGGGATCTTGTTTTCTCCCTTTCCTCCTTTTTTTTTTTTCTCCTCAAAAAAGGAAAGAACTTACTGTCCATATCAGCACACCTTTAGCATTCCCATCTCCAAATATGGTGACCTTGTCCCTTGGAGGAGTCTTCAAGCCTGGTTGAGCTAGCCATGGAAGTAAATAACTCATAAACAAGTTGCAGCAAATATAAGTATAAGGAATGCCTTCTGCTTCTATAAGACGTCGAATCTCAGCTCTTCGAGAATAGAACTTGTAATCCATATCAGCTATCTGAACTTTATCTGGATCAGCCCCAAATTCTGATGGTATAAATCTCTGTATCAATTATTCAATTCAAAAATAATACCACTTAGACTCCCATCTAAACATTAGTTAAGTATTCAAGGATTGATATACCCTAAGCAACCTTCCCATACTCCTCAATGAGGGAAAAGGCGTTAGCTTTACTCCATTTAAGATCAATTTACTTGTCAGACACTTTCACCTTACACATAATTTTACGTAATGCTTACATACCACACATAAAAGACAATTGAAAATCCGAATTTCCATCAAGCAAAACTCCACAACAAGAAAAAAAAAATTTTTTTTTCTAATATAAAAGTATTCTCTAAAATTACAAGTAAAGTCAAAATGTGACAAGTAAATTAAACCGGAGGGAGAATTTTTCTTAGTCCCAAATTTTTATCCATTGCTACCTAGAATGAAACACACAGAATCTACCCAGAATATCAACAGCTTTAATACTTAGATCCAAGAAAACATAAGCAGCCTCAATCATAATAAATTATGCAGAAATTAACAAAAAAAATTCAAAATTGAAGAGTTAATTAGTAACCTTGATGTTTCCAGCTTGTTTGATAACCCTAATGAGTAGTTTCTGATCAAGAACCTGTTTCGATGGGATAGCGCAGATGACGACATCGACTTGCTTCACTGCTTCTGTCAAACTCTCTTCGTCTTCAAGGGAACCCTTGAGGAGAGTGGCGCCGGCATCGGAGAGGAATCGGAGCTTTTCTGCTCTCTCGGGGTTAGTGAGGGAGGAATCTCTGATGAGAGCGAACGTGGGGTGGCCGGATCGGAGGCTGAATTTGGCTAAATGGTGACCTAATTTCCCCGTCGCTCCAATTATCAGTACTCTGCTCTTCTCCTCCATCTCGCTGTCCCTCCGCCCCTCCGCCGCGCATATGAATCCTGTATACAGGTGGATCGATATCTCCAAATGACTCCATTTCCCGCCACGTCATCCTGCGCTGGCACCACGTCATCCGCCGGGAGATCCTTTAACGGCGCCGTTTCAAATTTGCTGATATAACGGTTATTCGAATTTTGAAACTGGGGGAAGTAACGGATACCATAACGAGTCTTAGACAGTTAGACTATTTCTGCTGAGAATTCGCCATGTTTGTAACTTGCAGAACCTTCTTCTTCATCAAAGATTCCTTTTTCTTAAAGAATTTCGATATTTTATTCTTCAGATGACGTTTTGAACACGAAAATTAAAGCATTTCGGCCTCCTTTCTTAGTAGAATCATTAGTTTCGTTCAGGTTCTTCCTTAACCCGTTTCATTTTCCGCATCAACATTCATATTTTATGGTTAAATATTACTTTTCTAATTGAATTTTGGATTTTTGATTATGGGTTTCTAAGAATTCAGTTTCTTGAGCAAGTTTCTTGAATCAAGTTTCCTCCTTTCCTCATATTTCAGCACCAACACAATCCATTCAATATTCCCTTTTGAATGAATTTTATGGTATATACCCTTTTAATGATTTGCTCATTTTTGTTTTTGAATATTAAATTTGTGATCTCTTAACAGGTGGGTTATTGTTAATTATCGCCAAGATGAATGATTTGATGACCAAGTCTTTCCTTAGTTACGTAGAACTCAAGAAACAAGCATTGAAAGACCTTGAATCAGATGAGCCTGACATTGAAATGGGCCAACTTCATCCCACAGATGAAGAAAACCTCTCGAAATTCTTCGATGAAGTCATGATTATCAAGAATGACATGGAAGAAATCACCAACCTTGTCCATGATCTTCAGGGACTAAATGAAGAATCAAAGTCCACTCACAGTGCAAAAGTTCTTAGAGGAATTAGAGACAGAATACAGTCCGATATGATAACCATTCTCCAAAAAGCCAAGAATATTAAGTCAAGGTTGGAATCCCTTGATCACTCCAACATAGAGAACAGAAAGTTGGCAATTTCTTACAAGGAAGGAACTCCTATTGATCGAACAAGGATGTCGACGACTAATGGTTTGAGGGTGAAGTTGAGAGAAATGATGTGGGATTTTCAGTCTTTGAGGGAGCAGATTGTGAAAAGCCACAAAGAGGGGCTTAAAAGGCAGTATTACAATGTGACTGGAGTGGAACCAAGCCAAGAAATGATAGAAAGTCTGCTTTTTGGAGGAGGGGAAGACAAGGTTTTTGAAGGGAAGGCAGATTTAGTGATGGAGAACAGAGAAAGGCACGAAGCCTTAAAAGAGATACACAGGAGTTTGACAGAGCTGCACCATGTTTTCCTTGACATGGCAGTGCTGGTTGAGACACAGGGAGAACTGATCAATGATATCAAAGAGAATGTGGCTAAAGGTGGAGTTTACATTAGTGGAGGGACTAACGCGTTGTTTTATGCAAACCAAATGAAGAATAGGAGAAGAAATTGTGCTAGTTGGATTGGGGGATTTGTGTTGGTTCTGCTCTTGATATGCATCATCTCCATCTTAGCTTCTTAAGTTCTGCTAACGTGAGAAGGTTCAGTTTCTATCTAAATAGAAGAACGCTTTGGTAGGTTTTTGGTTCACTAGCTGAGGATTTCACTAGAATTGTTTTATTTACTTACTTATTTTTTTCTATATTCTCTGTTATTTTGAGGGCAATCTTTTTTATGAGTTCTCTTCATCGTCCACTAATTGCTTCGATGTTACTTGAACAATCACGAAATTTAATAAGATGTATATTGAATGGGGGAAACATACATAATTTCTCCAAATAAAAAAGAAAGATACTATAATTCATGAACATATCCTCTTATTCTTATTGTTATTTTTTTTTTGGCCAAAAAACATATCCTCTTGTTCCACAAAACAACATTTTTACTTGGCAATTACAATTCAAAGAATTTGATAAAAGTTTTAAACATTCTCATTCAAGTAAAATTTCATCCTTCCATTCAACACCTGTGCTTTGCAGGAAATAGTTATCAGCAATAGCCACTTTTAACAAGGAGGAAGGTCCTTTGGAGGAGGCAGAACAGTTTGGTCAGGTCCTTTTCCATCCTCTACCACAAATGCTGTCTTCAAACCCCAGCTAGTGTGAAGCTCCAAATGACAGTGCATGAACCACACTCCTAAATATTGAACAAAGAAGTTTAGAAGATCGAGCAAAAGCACATAGAAGAATTGATAAATGGTTGTGTATGAGATGAATAACTTACCTGGATTATCAGCTCTGAACCTTATGGCAGTCCAGCCACCAGTGGGTACTCCAACTGTGTTTCTCTCAGGAGGATCAACCAAGTTAAATTTAGCTAGGTCTTTTTTAGGATCAAAGTTGCCAATTCCAGTCCCAACCACAAAGAAATTGTAACCATGAAGGTGAAATGGATGGGATTCGACAATCAGAAGATTGGTGTCTTGTAGAACCAACTCAACTGTTGAATTGAAGGCAATTTTGCTAACTCTGGTGCCTAGATTGGTGACAAGGTTGGCCGTCAGTGGTGCTCCGGTGTAATTGAAAGGTATCGGAGGTTTGTCTGGGAAGTCTGTCCTGAACACTCCCGTGATATTGAAGTAATAAGCCTGAAGAAGGCCGATCTGGGGCATCATAAATGAGATGTTGTTCAACGATGCAGTGACTTTTGTCCCATTGAGGCATGTTGGACATGGGTTCTTCCCAAGACCAATTGTGTAAAACAGATGCCTGTCCACTTGTTGAGGCACATTTGCTGGGTATTGTGGAGTGTTTAGGCTCCTGAGTTTGGCATTGTAGCTCAAGGCAAAGGCAGTGTCATTAGGGGCTGGCAGCAGGGGAAGGGTAGGGAGGACAGTGGTGGGAACACCCTTGTATTGAAGTATGGCAGTGGCAGTTTTATTGTCTATGGGGAGTGGTGCATCCATGAATGGGCGAGCAGCCATGAAATATCTATTGGGGGCTTTTGTAGCTTGAACAAGAACATTTGTGGTCTGCCCTGGTCCAATTAGTATTGCATTTGTTGAAAATGGCTTGGTGTAAACTGCATCAATTTCCACCACTGTCATGTTGTGGCCAGCAATGGCGAAGAAGAGTTCATCGTCGATTGCAGCATTGATTATTCTCAAGAGGTATGTCTTTCCTTGTTCAACCTCCATTGCAAATGTATCTGAAACAATATACAAAAGGGGAGAAAAATGTGTGAGAAGTTTTTTGTTTCTTTTCATGAGGCATCAGTCCAGTGGTTCAAGAATATGCTTTGTCCTAGGAAGTTCAAGATGCAAATTTCCCATCCCCAAATATAAAAAGGAAGTCATTGCTTCAATTTTGCTTACGTTTTTCATAACTAGGGAACAATGGCCCTGGCTTTCCATTGATTGTGTGTGCATTTGAAGCATTAGGGGGCAATCCAAGCTTGTTGCCTTGTTTAACAAGCTCTTCGATATCATTGTTCCACCATTCTCCTGCATTTACAAGAAATAGAGTAATGTTAACTTTGTGCGTAATATTATTATTGAGACGTTGGTCCTTTGGTAAGATAATTTTCATATGGCAAGTTCCAGATACCTAAAATTATGTTTGTTTCTTGGTAAGGCTGAGGGAAAGGAAAAGGGGTCCCCTGTTTGGGCATGATGACAATGGCCCCATGGACAGTGGCTCTAAGCCAAAAGATATGTGCATGCCACCACAATGTTCCTCTCTGCTCTGTTACATTGAAATCATAGACATAACTATTCCCTGTCTTGATGGGGCATTGTGTAATATAAGCTGGTCCATCTGCCCATCCATTGTGAAGTTGCCTCAATCCATGCCTACAGAAATCACCATATATATATATATATATGTTTATCTTCATTAGCCCAACACCTACATCATGATACTACAATCATATCTTTTGTGTTCATGCATAATTTACCAATGAATTGAAATGTTATATTTCGCGTGGTTTGTAACATTAACAAGAACTCTATCCCCTTCCTGGACGTATAGGGTTGGTCCAGGGTACATCCCATTAACTGTAACAATAGGTTTGGCATGACATAGCCTACTAACATTTTTCACTTGAATCTGGGAAAAAAAAAATAGAGGAACTTTCATCAATAAGGCGAATTAAAGTGCGAAAATGGTTTAAAATGCTTAATGATCTAAAATGCATGCTTACATAAAACTGGTATTTCTTGGT